GACAGAGATAGAGAAGAAGAAATGCCTAACAAGCACAACCATTTCAATCACGTCGTCAGATTTTGAAAAAGCCTCTGAATATATGGTAGGTGAATCAGGATCAAATGAATGTCATGTCTGCATTTAACGATGTCCGGATGATGCATCAAGAGCTACGATGCGAAATCAAAATCCCTGAAAAAGTTAATTAAATGCATAAATAAGTTAAAGTAAGTATAGATAAAACGCAAATGAGTATAGAGCATAGTATTAAGGTATAAAAGACTACAACTAAACATTTAAAACAGCCCCAATGAACGATGACAGATCCGTCACAAACAAGGGGAATATTCATAGGAAAAGAGGAATGTAAACTGTTATTTGCATTATAGGAGTTATTATTAAGAAGCTAAAGAAAACAAGAACCAAGCATATCTGAACATTAAAACACAAGCGCCCGCATAGCAAAACTATAATATATGATATATACACATACCCACACCCACACCACACACACACACACGCACACAGAACACACATACACACACACGTCACACACACAACACACACACACACACATATAATATATATATATATATATCATATATATATAATATTATATATATTATATATATGACTATATAATAGTATATAGTATATATGTATATATGATACATATATATATATACATATATATATATATATATATATATATATATATATATATATATATATATATATATATATATATATATAATAATATATATACATATATATATATATATATATATATATATATATAATATATATATATATATATTATATATATTATATATGTGATATATATATATAATATATATATTATATATTATATATACATATATATATATATATATATATATATATATATATATATATATATATATATATATATAATATATACATCTATCTCTCTCTCTCTCTCTGTCTCTCTCTCTATCTATATATTATATATATATAATATATATATATATATTTATATATATATATATATATATATATTAGTATATATATATATTATATATATATATATATATATATTATATATATATATATATATATAGTATATATATATATATATATATATATATTATATATATATATATATTATTGTGCTGTAGAATTATCGTGAATTCAAGGATCAAACGATATAGAATAGATAGATAGATAGATGGATAAAACGTAAGTAAATAGAAATTATTTAATAAGTAGATGAATAGGTAAGTAGAAAATGAATAGATATTTTCACTAGATTAACCTCAGCTCAGTCTGTGACCTTTAGTCTACTTGTTGCATCTGTTATGCCTGAGAAGATATAATTTACCTAATTACAATCCTGTCCTCAAGGGACTGTAAAAACTTTATCTAACGTATTAGTATGTTCCTGCCGTACGGTAATACTAGCATTTCTATTATATCAAGTAGATGAAAGACAAAATGACAGTTACAATAAAGGATAATAACTGATGTACAGCACTTATTTTACCTCTTCGCATGAAGCTCCTGCACCTTCGGAATCCTGGCATCCATTGAAAGGTTGGACACCGCCTGAAGCCTTCATGCGGTGGGCTCTTACCTCACGTTCTGAAATGAGCATCGTGAAATTCACGAGTTGGCGGTTTATATTAGACCTCTATCTACCACCCTGGGGTCGGATTCATTAACATATGATCGCAACACATTTACCAGCGGTCATTTGCCATTGCGTTTACCAGTCATGGCAAAGCGGGATTCACGAAGAAATGGCAACCCACATTGACTGAGTTACAATCGTAAATCGACTAACTCTAATGGTAGCCAACAGAGGGCTCTAGCAAAGCAATTTCACCGATCAGCAAGCGCCAACACAATCCTTTAGGTTCCTTCGGCCAATCACGTGGCATGTAACTACAACTAGACACAGCGAGATTTTTATTAAACAATGTCACAGCTAAAACAGCATTTCAGCTTAATTTAAAAATAATTTATTCAATCTTATCCATCATGCGGGATGTTCATAGACTTCCCTGACTATTTATCGTATAAATAGGAACCAATACAAACGCAGTTATATTAATTTGTCATTGTTTACCACAAAAATTTCGTTTAATATTGAGTTTTGGAAGATAAGACATCCTCTTTATAAGAAGTTACCAGTGCTCGTTATAATCGTGATCTCTACCATCAATATCATTATTTTTATCATCACCCTTGTTATTATCATGATTATCACTGTCATCATCATCATTATTACTATGATTATTATTATTATCTTATCACTGTATCACTATCATCATTATCATTACAAGCATTATTATCATCATTGTTATTATTATTGTTATTATCGTTATCAATAGTATCCCTGTTATCATTATAATCATCATCAGCATTCTTATTATTTTCACTATTATTATCATTATTATAATTATTATTTTCATTGTTATTAGTAGAAGTAGTATTGTTGTGTTATTATTATTACCATTAGAATTATCACCTTTCCTTTACCATTATCATTATCATTTTATCATACCATCATTATTACCACTATTATTCCATCACCATTAGCATGATAATCATTACGATTATCACTATCATTGTCATCATTACTAACATTTTCATTATTATCAACCTGATCACTATATCTATATCTGATCTTAATTTCTTATCTCTCAGATTCCACTGTGGGGATACGATTCCACATTTGACATTACTAGAAATTTTATTACTCAGAGAAAGAAAAGAAAATGTGATAAACATGAAATAACTGATTTTATTGACTTGAAAGTGAAAGTTATGCAAGAGCAAACTTTCTCACTCTGACTGTATGTGTGCTTGAATCTCTCTCTCTCTCTCTCTCTCTCTCTTCTCTCTCTCTCTCTCTCTACTCTCTCTCTCTCTCTCTCTCTCTCTCTCTCTCTCTCTCTCTCTCTCTCTCTCTCTTCTCTCTCTCTCTCTCTCTCTCTCTCTCTCTCTCTCTCTCTCTCTCTCT